TTCATGGGGCTGACAGTTAAGAGGGTGAGTCAAATAGCCAAACCAAGCAATGTCTAATGAGAACAGTACTCGCAAAAGAGAAGTAGAGTTCTGTTTGAGCATTTGACTTGGGAAACTGGGGGACCAGAGATGGTGAAGAGGCACTAATTAGACAGTGCAGGAGGAGGAGGTGAGGGAAGAGGATTCAAGTTAGAGGTAATACGTGGTGCAAAGGCCCTGTGATAGGAGGAACAGCAAGTGCAGATAGATCACTCCACACACTCCCCACCTGACGATCTGTGGCTTGGGAAGGCCATGAACCTCCTGGCTTTTGTAGGGGAAGAAAGATAGAAATTCACCTGTTGCCCTAGACTCTAAACCCACATCCTTCCCTGGTCCCAGGTCTTTGGTATAGTGGGTCAGTCTCCCCTTGTCCATTCCTCTCTCTCCCAGACCCTGGTGGCCATCTCCCTTCATAAGGAGCAGACAGTAGAGGGGGATGTGGCCACACCAGGCCCCCTCGCCTTTCTCTGGGGTCATCCTGAGTTGATAGAGGGAGCCAATGGAACCCTCCCAAAGCTTCCCTAGAGCCGAATTTCTACCTCCCAGGCAGGCAAAACATGAGGCCACCCATGCCCTGGGCATCCATGTTAGGCAGACACTCTCTCTCAAGCCCTCCTCCCAGAGTAACCCAAGCCAGGTCCTATGTATTTGGAGGGGCATCCAATGGCATCTGACCACCCTAGATGTCCACAGGATGGGACTGATTTAGTCATACGTGGGGACAGAGTGGGCAGGGGCTCCTGCAAAGTCTGATTGCACCCTCAAAATGAGTTTCCTTCAGTTAGCAGGTTATAGGTTTGAATTTGGACAACAAGCAGGACACCTGTGGCCACTGAGAGATACCTTTGGAGCACCTGGAGGATGAGAGGGAGACGGACTGCAATGAGTGGGCAGGAATGTGAAATTAGGATTACACATTAGGACAACACCATCATCACAGTCCAGCTTCTCAGCCCACAGAACAGGGAGCACCAAGAGAATGAATCACCTACTGGAAGGTGGGAGGAGACAGGCATATCATGGAAGAGAGAAGTCATCTGTCCCCCAAATCACTAGCACCCAGATAGTTAGAACAACAGTCCTCTATGCCCAGCAATAGCTGATGTTTGAGGAAGTGGCAGTGTGCTGTAGGCTCAGAGTAGGACGTCTGCTCTGTGTTGGAAAGACAGAGACTTGAGGGTGACCTGGAACCATGGAGCAGGCAGAAGGACGTGGCATGGTGAGCACCTGGTGAGTCCTGGCTTTGTGCTTGCTGGCTTTGAGACCTCAGAGGCTCCTTAACTTCGATTCCTGGTCCATAAACAGGGATAATAATAGTGCCTACCTCAGAACGTGTTCGGAGGATTAAATGAGCTAACACTGCACTATCCGATATGGCAACCATTGACCACTTATATTAGTTTGCTAGGCTGCCGTGATAAAATACCCCAGACTGAGTGGCTTCAACAACAAAATGTATTCTCTCACAGTTTGGGAGGCTAGAAGTCTAAGGTCAAGATATCAGCAGGCTTGGTTCCTTCTAAGGGCTGTGAAGGAGAATCTGTTCCATGCCTCTCCCCTTGCTTCTGATGGTTTGCTGACAATCTTTGGTGTCCCTGGGCTTATAGAAGCATCGCCCCATCTCTGTCTTCATCTTTACATGGTGTTCTCCCTGTGTGCATGTCTGTCTCCAAATTTCCCCTTTTTATAAGGACACCAGTCACATTGGATTAGGGGCCCACCTTACTCCACTATGACTCCATCTTAACTAATTACATCTGCAATGACCCTGTTTCCAATTAAGGCCACATTCTTAAGTACTGGGGGTTAGGACCTTAACATATGAATTTGGGGAAGGGGGACACAATTCGATGCATAACAAATACTATGTATGGCTATTTCAGCATCTGAAATGTGGCTAGTAGGAATTGAAATGTGCTGTTATGCTAAATACACACTAGATTTCAAAGGCCTGGTACAAAAAGAAAGAACACAAGATCTCTAACTATTAATTATTGAGATCATTAATTTATCTCATTTATTGGTCATACTGATTACACGCCGAAATGATATTTTGGCTATATTATGTTAAAATATATTATTAAAATTAACAAGTTTTATGTGGCTGCTGGAGAATTTTAAGTTATCTGTTTGGCTCCCATAACTATCTACTGGACAGCACTGAACTAATATTTACAAAACCCTTAGACCAGAGCCTGGCCCATAGAAAATACCTGTAAGTGCTGGTTAAATAAAGGCTTTTCTGTGGAGGTGACTTGTGACCTACGGCATTTAAAAAATATCACTTTTCCTACTCCCCAGAGACCGGAAAAAGTTGGGTGGGAACAAATTTATTTTCTTGTTTAGCCCTTCTTTTAGTGAGTGAATTTTGTTTTACATTCCAGAAGCATGTGGCATATATAATGTGGCCCTGTCTTTTCCAAATTGTTTTGCTCTATTTTTTTCCACGGCATTTATAAACTATCATCCACATTAAGCACCGTGCTTTCCTGAAAAATTGTTTCCAATATTCCTGCTAACAATGCACAATGTTAAGCTGCAAATATTTTCTGTTAGTTAGGGTTGTTATTGGGCCAAGTGATAAACTATTGAAGAATCCTAATGAATATTTTCAAATAGTTTTCAAGAAAAGCCAAACCAATTTTTAGTCCTGCCAGCAATGTATGAATGTCTGCATTTTACCAACTTCTAACTAACTTTGGTATTATTTTTTTAAGTTTTGTGTACGTGTATGTGTGTGTATAGTTTGTTTTGTTGCTGATTTGGTGGAGGAAAAAAACATCTTCATTACTTGTAAATACACTTCTTTGATGACCTGGAAGTTGAGCATTTATCCACTTGATTGCGTTTCCTTTTCTGATAATAGGTGTTTTGAGTCCTTTGACCATTTTTTAGTGCCTTACTATTCTTCTTATCAATTTATATGCATTTTTAATAAACATATCAAATTTCGTACATTTTATTTTTCTCAGCTTCACATTAGCAACTACTGACTGACTGCCTTAATTCTGTTTCTTGTTTAACAAAGTTTTGTATTTTTGTATAGTTACATCAATTGATTGTCTCTTTGTGATTTCATACCATGCCCTTCCAGAGATGTGGTATCATTTTTACTTTCTTTTAGCTTTTTGTAATTTTAGTCTTTTCTCTCTTTC